CAGAATCTTTGCCACTCAGGCCCCTACCCAGAGCATTTTTCCACTTGATTTATGTAGTGATTTACATAAAGGCTCAGCAACTTAGGGCAGTCTACTTACTCATATTTTCTCACCGATGGGCCTGAGGACACTCCGCTAGTTGTTTGCCAGACTTCTCACCATCAATGGGCTAGCATCAACATTGAATGCTCTTCCATTTCTCCCTCTTTAAATTGTACCTAACCTCAGAAAAGCATCCGCCAACAACCCCTCCCCCACACTTACTTAGCACAAAGTACTTTAAGCAAGAAGGTAAGAAGGCTATTTTCAAACCACCACTCCCCGGTTTTCCGGGTTTGAAATGATGATAGGGTTAATGCCTTTTTTTTGAGTTTCATAATATAGCAAGGTCCCACATGCAAATGGTACAAATACTGAATGAATCAAATCAAACTAAAAGTTCTAAGTTCTATTGTTGTTTGAAACCTTGGGCTGTTACCCCCTCGTCACCGGTTAATCCTAGAAGTTCTAAGTTAAGTTTACCCTTCTGGGATTTCCCTAACATGTAAGTACAATTAGTTTGAATGGTCTGTTCAATCTAAAAGGATAATTTAAACTCTAGAATTAAACATTCAAATATGATCCGAGAGTGTGAATCAAAACATAATTATATAGAGTAGAGGGATTAGATCCTAGCAATGAGTTTAGCTACTCATAGATTGAAGCTCAAACACCACGAAGTTCAGATATTGAGACTCCATCCTGATTACAATAGAAAGAGAAGAAAACAGGGGGGAGTAAAGTTAGGGAGTGTGAAAGTGCAGCTAACTTCGCAGAGTCAGCTTCTCACTTCCCCAAGTGACACCCAAGTCTACCTCCCAGAATTATACTCTGAATCTTCCTAACTGAACTAAACTACACTACATTCCTACTTCTTAGTGTTTCTGATCTTTGATGCCTTCATCTTCATGCTGCTGCTGCCTTTTATAGAGGTTGGGGGAGAGCTCTTGCTTAGCCATGTTGGTCTCCTCTTTACCCGATGGATTTTTATGCAAAAGAGAGGAGACCCATACTTCTCCCAACTTCTCCCTTACCTCTAATCATCATTTGGAGAGGTTTAGTTGATTAACTCCAGCTTTAAGGCACATCAATCTTCTCCAATGCCAGTAGCATCACTTTACCAACGGCTTTTCTTCCTTAGCTTTGAAGGATTGTTCCAATTTCTTCCTTCTTCCCGCCAGATTCAGCCCATCTCAACCCTTACACAATCAGTCCCTGCAATTTCTTCTAATTTAGCCGAAACTTCACCATTTTGCCACCTTTTTCTGCTCATGCTGCAATTCAGTCCCTGGATTATCATAAGTCACCAAATTAGCCAATAAACATATAATCCTAACCTAATTGACCTATAATTAAAGTATAAAGAGGTAAAATTGATGCCTGAAAACATAGTACGAAATGCACTCATTAACTCCCCCAAACTTGAAGAGTTTACTTGTCCTCAAGCAATCACAACATCTACCCCCCATATAGACCAAAAACAAGAAAATGTAGCAAAGGAAACAGTCAAATTTTCTCTCAGAAATTGATCTCATTACAGCCTGATGCATACAGAAGTTCAGAACTACTTGAGCAAGTCAGAAACTCACTTCCCCAAGCACATAGATGACAGTCACAGAACAAAGTGTTGAATTCCATTCTTAACTTAAGTTCAATTAAGCACAGTGGACATTCCTGGATCTGTACCTATTTCCATCAAGTCTGCAACTAGGGTATTCTAACTGGATTTCTGACTAAGGGCTTCCTCACTATTCTGCAAGAACATTCGCTGCATCATTCACCCTCAAACCCCTTTCCTTCTGTCCATATTGGCTTTTCTTCTGGATCTTTCCAACTCAGGCCTTAGCCAAGCACATTTTCCAGCATTGTCTGACATTCTAAGCATTTGTATTTTTCACCTCACGAGGCCTGAGGACACTCCTCTCTTTGGTTGCCATACCTCACCTTTCAAGGGTTTATAATATCTTATTTAGACATTCTGCCTATACTCCCTTAATTAGCTAAACAGAAAACCTCAGTTGATCCGCCAACTTTCCCTTTTTCCCGAGGTATTTCAGGCTATTCCAAACCACTATGGCCTCAAATCGAGGCTACCATAATGTGTAGGGTTTAGCTTAATCTCTATCCAGGTTTACAGTCCCCCCAGGTCAACAAACACGTGAGCTCCAGTACAGATCACAGCAATGCAAGAAATTTTTCGTTTTTTAGCATTTTAAGTCCAGGAACACACTTTGTCAAGTGACTTTATGACATGAGAAAGTGGAAGTAAGTTTTCAGATGATCAAGACAGTTCTTAAACAAGTGCTCAGCCAAATTTTGAGATTCAATTTGTTTTCATCATCGAAAATTGGCTATCTACTGAGCATGTATTTTCTAGTTTCTAGACACAGAAAGAGAGAAAGGCGGAATCGATCATAGAGAGGGATACAAAAACATAGCAACAAAAAAAAAAACAGGGCAAGAGCCCAAAAATAAAGACTCAAGATGGAAAAAATAGAGACACAGAGGCAGATAATAGGGGCACAGACTGACTTCTAACAGACATAATTCTCATCACACCCTCCCCCAAACTTAAAATTCAGCACTGCCATCAATGCTAAGTAAAAAAAAAAATAGAAGAGGAGATGAAGAGAATTGACAGACACAAGCAAACAGGAAAAAGAACAAAACTAACAATAAAAAAGAAAGGAAAAGAAAGAGAACTAGTGTTTCCCTTGATCTTCGGAGTCTGATGACTGGTAATCTGGTGGTGGTCCTTGCAAATGCCAAGGTAGTGGCAGACGAGATCTTTCGTCATGAAGTCCGAAATTTACACCGGACCGCTCCATCAATCTTGTTAAGAGGCTAGGAAAGAACAAACCCCTTTCCTTCTCGTCTGCAGCACAGACTTCATTTGCTGCTTGAGGATAGGGGCCACATCAATAGTAATGTCATTGATGATGGCGAATAGCAGCAAGGCCCTGTTGACAGACACAAACTAGCGAGATTTAATGGGCAACTCCTCCGGGCAACCGTATTTGTCTAGGCTTCATTAAAATGTTGTGTGATTCCGACAGAGAGCCTTGTTTAATGTATCCGAAGCCATTTTTTTACCGGAATACCATCAATGGCTTCCTCCCAATCATTGTCGACTTCGGGCAATCCCAACACTTCCCTAATAGCTTCCGTGCTGATCTCCACTGTCATGCCTCGGACATAAACAAACGACCCCGTGACAGCGGTTACATTGGCATAGAGCTCTTGCACAACCCTCATCCTTGGTGGAGTGGTTGGGTTACAGAGACCTCCCCATTGCTTATCGTCGATGTACGTCGATGGGTGGTCTTGGTTGAAACATTGACGCTCAATGATGGGATTCTGTTTCGGTACCTTTGAAACAATTCCCACCCGAACTCGGTGATGAAAATTTGGCTATCTCTGGGATTGTGGAGGCGCGTCCTCACTTCGTGCCTCTCATCCCTGTTTAGATTAGAGTTTGGTACAATTACATGTTCTGCCAATCTTCTAGCAGAACTACACTCCCCCGCTTGCAAGGTTCTGCACCTAGGCGTTTCTTTCACCTTTGGATTCATGGTGGAGCAAGTGTGTTTGAAAGATTGAAGAAAAACGAAGATGTGCGACGAAGGTGAAGGTAGATGGTTTCTTAGAGAAGGAAAGCAAAAGGGAAAAGATGGGTTGTGGGGGTTGGAATATTTATTGGGTCAAAGATATCAACTCCCCATATCCCGTCATTCCATATTCTTAACTGCAGAACAGTAGCTTTCTCCCCCAAACTTAAAAGCGAAGACTGGTTTCCAAAGTCAAAGTCAGACTTAATTGCATTTTGAAAAATCAAAATGACTTTGGCAAGGTTCATTAGCTCCACTGCCCCTTGGCTCAGAATCTTGCTGATCTTGTAACGGACTCCCCATTCTGGATTTCAGCTTCCCAGGAAAGAGGTTCAGCCTGGAGTTGTAGCGTAGAACCAACTGTCCCACGTCTAGCTGCTTCTTGACTAGCTTCTTGTCATGAAATCCTTTTGACTTCTCCTTGTAGATTCTGGAAGACTCATATGCCGTGTGTTCTAACTCAACAGGAGGGTGGCATGCCTTGCTAGACACCAATTTGAATGGAGACATGCTAATTGGAGTCTTGAAAAAAGTCATGTATGCCCAGAGAGCATCATCAAGCTCAGCAGACCAGTCAGTTCTTGAACTGCTGACTACTTTTTCCAATATCCTCTTGAACTCTGTTTGATACCTCTGCTTAACCCTTGGACTGTGGATGATAAGGTGTAGAAACTTTGTGCTCGATGCCAAACTTAGCCATCAGTGATTATGGCTCTTGGAGTACCAAAACGAGAGAAGATGTTCTTTTTCAAGAACGTGATCACTGTTTAGTATCGCTGGAATGAACTGCAACAGCTTCTACCCACTTAGAAAAGAGTGGTATATTACTATATATTGATAATGATGCCGCCAATAACAGTGACTATTCTGTAGATAACGTCTATTTTTCTTGTGATGGAGAACTATTCAATCAAAACTAATTAATGACTGGAGGCTTGCCCTTTATAAAAATAGTTGTCCATTTGTCAGATCAATCAATTTCTTCTACGATTCTACCCTCACCACAAACCCCGTAAAATATCCTGGATCTCAACTTGTGCATTCAAAATTCTTTGCCAAAATTGTAAAGGTTCTTAGAACTTGTAAGAATCAGTGCAAAATTCTGACTTGGTGCATATCCATAGCCTTTAATTAGTGTTTTGATGCTTTCTCTGTGTATATCTCATTTCATCAAGTGAACTCACTCATGGTCTCACCCATCTCTACAATTTCTACACAAGCAGTTTTTTTTTTTAAACTACACAAGCAGTATCCATCATCTATTATCTTTTATTTCCCTTCTTCTTTAGTCTCTATTATCTGTTACCGTCCACCAAAAAGTTCTAAAAATAAACATAAAAATTCTTTGATCAGGTTTTTGGGTTGAGTTGTACTATTACTATAAAGGGTTACAGATCGTCTGCAGGATCAAGTTTCCATTGGAAGCTGGAATGAAGGTTGTGATTGAAGAGATGAACAGAGCGCTTTGGCATTTAAAACACAGTGTTTTTTTTGCTCAATGATAACCATTTAGCTCCCTCCTTCATTAACAAATTAAGGTACGGATATTAGTTCGCTTTTAGCTACATCTTACCGTTTGACCTTTCCTACTTATGACTTTTTTTTCCTATGTTTTCTTTTAATGATTTTTATGCTGTTTAAGATGGGATGCTTAGAATACGAGAATCTAACGTTTTAGTCCCAATAGATGAGCAAAACAAGATAGATTAGTCCAAAATTTTTGAATTACTTTGTTTTTAGCCCCAACTTTTCGAACATTTGAGCCATCGTCATTGTGGAAACTAATTCTAGATCCCAGACATGGAAAGTGTCATGTTGTCTATTGTGTAAGATTACACGCAACTGTCTTCAAAATAAAAACATATGATTCTATTCGCTCTGTGTCCTACAAAATTAGTCAATATTGTAATATATTATAGTTTACAATGTGATAGAGGAAGTATTTATCTTGGGACTCTCTAGGTCAGATGCTTAGCCGAACAAAGAATTGAAGGATTTGCATATTTGGTCTTTCAAGTATTCATTTTCTTCATTTTTGGCTTAAAACTTCTTCAATTGGATAGTTAAGTCCATAACTGTTTGAAAATACTTGCTCTATCCTAAAATGATTGTCCAGTTAAGATATTTACAATTTGTACTAAAAATAAAAATATGAGTTGGACAATCATTTCCGGATGAAGAGACTAATAATTGAAGTACTCCTTTCGTCTCGAAGTTATTGTCTCGTTTGGATTTTTAGTTTTAGTACAAATTAAACTAAAAATGAAAATCTAGACTAGATCATAATTTGGAGACAAAGGGAGATTTATGAACTCTTATCAATTATTAGTGGTTCCTCATTGCTTTACCTGTTGATATTTTCATAATTGCTTAATCAAGCGGATATAATTGAACAAGGAGTTTTAATGTCAAATGGTTTTAAAGTGTGTTTCTTTCCAACTCTTGATCTTTTAAGACATTTATAGGAATCATCTCGGTTAAGGTATGGGAATTTGACACTGTTATCCTTTCACCATTAAATTTGACAGCTGTGAAAAGATATATATTCTATGGAGAAGTTTGTTCAAGATGCTATAGATGATCTAGAGTCAATCAGCCAACTTATTGGGAGGGAACTCTATGAAGTTTGGAGACTCAAGGGGCGGTTGAGATGTGTGAAAGTATTTTATTTGTGTGGCAAGAAGTGGAGTGAAGATGCGGGATTGAACACTTCCTTGTGCACCATGGTGGAGACCATTCACATACATTCTCTAGAAATTCTAATTCTTTGTCTTAAATTGAGGGAAGATAATGATGCTTTCCTATTATCGAAGAGATTGGAGGATATAGCTGATGAATTTATTGGGAGAATCAGTAATTCAATATTTCCGGGAATTGAAGAACTGCATCAAATGTTCTCAGATAATCCACTGCGAACAAACTCTTCTCCTGCAATGGAAATAGAGAAGGTTCTCGATATAATAGAGTGTCTTCTTCAAAGTATACATGGTCTTTTTGATTTAGAGGATCTAGAGGCAACTGTAAGATTCTGGAAAAATTTCATTCTGTTTGCCAGACTTCACGGACTTGGCCATATGCAGATGGTAGATTTTTTTATTCACATCGGAGGCTTGGCCGTGGATGCTGCATGTTTCATTTTCAAGAACTGGTATCGTAATCGTAGTCTCGCTGACACTTCAATTAGGTACAAACTTATGAGAAGAATGGAGCCCGAAGAATTCCAAGTCTGCGGGATTTATGTTAGAGTCCTGCAAGAAGTTTTAAAATTGCCGCCAGCTAAGCATCCCACTGAAAGAAATCATGCATTGATGTCTGCAGAGTTTGTTGATTCTCTCAGCTTTCTTCTTTTGACTCTATTATTCCGTGGTACCTTTTTTCTGGACATCTTTCACCATCAAATGCATAAACTACATGAGAGACTAAGATTCTTGAGCACCACTCTGAAAAAGCATTGTGATAACATTGTTGAGCTACATCAACCAACGCATGGCCTTATTGGACCTGTGATTTGTAAGGGGGGAATTATAATTTTCTATCTCTTTCTACGAAAGGAAGATGAAGTGAGCTTTTTTGAGAAATTGGGGTTTTGTTTTTCGGATTTTGAGGAAAACTTTAAGCTTATCAAGGCAGTAGACAAAGAGACACCCGGATATCCACTAGCATTAGCATGTCCTCAAACAAACTTGTTGGGGTTTCTTGATTTTGTCTCGGAGAAAGTGAAGTCATTCATTCTTCATAAGGTTGGCTCACTAGGTGCTGCAGAAAAAGATAAATTTCAAACTTTACAAAATGATCTTGTTGTTTTAAGATCTTTTTTGTTCGATGTGGTTAAGCAGCGCGATCAAGATGAGATGCTTCAATCTCTCTACAGTCGCATTGCTAAGGTATCCTATGAGATAGAGTTTATCCTTGATTCTTTAGAGGTTGGATGCTCTCTTAGAAGCTTTGATATGTTGCTTAATAACATCACACTAGAGATTGAGCATACTAAAGCCGAGGTCTCAGAAATTTCTTTCAATAGTATAGGGCTGGCCATTAAAGTCCAAGATACTCCTAAAACTTATAGTAATGCGCCGTCAGCTGCTAAGATCTTAGAAATCAATGAGCCTATGGTAGGGTTGGATGATGAGATACAAATCATAATTGATCGACTCACAAGAGGGACCAAACAGTTGGACATAGTCTCTGTTGTTGGCATGGCTGGGTTAGGTAAAACTACATTAGCCAAGAATGTTTATCATCATGGCGCCATCACCGCTCACTTTAATATTCGTTCTTGGTGCACTGTATCTCAAGTATACAGCAAAAGAAGTTTGTTGATTGAGATTTTAAGTGGTACGGGCTATAGTTCTATTGGCGAGGATTCAAAAATGAGGGAAGATGATTTGGCTCTTCTGCTCTACCAAAGTTTGAAGGGGAAAAACTATCTTGTAGTCTTGGATGATGTTTGGGATGCTGAAGTATGGAGTATCTTAAAAATTTCATTTCCAAATGATAATAAGGGCAATAGAATTCTCCTCACCAGTCGACACGAGAATATGGCTTTGCAAATCAAACCACACAGTGGAAATCCTCATCAACTTCGTTTGCGCACTGATATTGAGAGTTGGGAGTTATTTCAGATGAAGATATATTTTGAGGAATGTTGTCCGATTGAAGTACTTGCTCGTGCGAAGGCAATATCACAACATTGCAAGGGATTGCCGCTGATGATTTTAGTAGTTGCTGGATTTCTTTCGAATATGGAAACTGGTATGTGGGGAGAAGTTGAAGACATCCTAAGAGAAGGTAGTGGAATAGTTACAGACCAGTGTAAGGAGACTCTTGATTTGAGCTATCGACATTTGCCAAATTATCTGAAACAATGCTTTCTCTACTTTGGATTATTTAAAGAAGACCTACAAATACCCACTCGGGAATTGCTACAGATGTGGATTGCAGAAGGTTTCGTAGAGAGAACCGAGAGAGAGCAGCAGTTAGAGGATGTTGCGCAGGGTTATATGTTGGAGTTGATACAAAGGAATTTAGTAATGGTCGCACAAACAGGATCCAAGGGTAAAGTGAAATATTGCGTCCTCCATGATTTGTTGCATGATTTCTCAAGGGCAAAAGGTATTGAAGAAAGCTTCATGCATCGAGTGCATGGTCATGAGCTTAATACTTACACAGAGCCTGATATGTCTTACCGGTTGAGTGTTTATCCCGAGGGAGTGCACGAATTCATGGAACCAAAATTGCTATGGCCTCGTTTGCGCACTTTGCTGATCGAAAGTCATGACAAAATGTTTTCACAAGCACATTGTTGGTATGGTATCATATACAACTTTTGCCAATACAAACTTTTAAGGGTTTTGGATTTAAGGAAGATGGGTCGGTTTGTTTTCTTTCCAAGTGTAGTTCAACTACTCACTCACTTGAAGTTCTTGGCCTTCCAAGTTGCATGTCTATCAGTTATGATCCCACCATCAATTGCCAATCTCTCAAATTTGGAGACTTTCATCGTCCTCGGTGGCAAGGAACTTTTGCTACCAAATACCCTGTGGAATATGAGAAAACTAAAGCATCTACAAGGACGTTCTCACTGGGTATTGCCAACAGAGATTGCTGAACACCTCTTCAATTTAGAGAATTTGCTGACTCTCTCCACTGTCAAATTTTCTTGTGGCCTGACGATGATGAAAGAAGTATTGAGAAAGTTTCCGAATCTGCGCCGGCTAAAATGCTATCTCAATCAGGATGAGGTGCGCTCTATGGAAGATTCCTTAATGCTGGATTTTTTTAGTCAACTTGAATCACTCTCTGTCTTGGGTAATGGTCCATTCCTTTGGACTTGTCATCACTTTCCGAATCAATTTCAATTTCCCCAGAACCTAAAGAAGCTTACCGCATACTGTTTTTACCTTACCCAGAGTCAAATTTCAACCATTGGTGAACTACCAAATCTCGAGGTTCTCAAGTTAGACCAAGTAATGTTTACTGATGACGATTGGAACATTGAAGAAGAGGGAACATTCCTGAAACTCAAATTTTTGAAATTGAGGTTAATGGCATTAGAAAGGTGGACGGCCATGGATGACAATTTTCCCTATCTTGAGACGCTTGTACTGGAATATTGCAGGAAGTTGAAGGAATTACCTTCATGTTTAGCCGAAAGCTCAACTCTTCGGGTGATTAAGGTAATCGACTGTCCACATGCCGCTGCTTCAATCAAGAAGATTCATGAAATGCAGATGGATTGGGGAAATGAGGATCTGAAGGTCGTTACAGATTTTGAAGCGGAAGAAATGAGTAAGTACTACAAACTTCTTCTTGTTGTTTTGTATTTGTTTTTGTCTTGATTTTTTATTTTTTCTTGGGGTTTCCCCTTCTTTTGGTGAGGTAAAAAATGCACCCCTATCATCATTGCTAGGTAGAAAGCGTTGATTGCATTTGTAGCTTGAACCTTGTATCATATATTGTTGTTAGTCCGATGTGGTTAAGTATCTGTCATTCCTTTCTTTTTAGCTTCATTGAACAATTTGTTTTTTTTTTTTGTGATAGATTTAACACCTACAGTCTGATTTTTTTAGATTATTTGACTGAGTGATTTATCCGTTTTCACTAAAAGCTAAAACATAATAACTAAGTGATCAAAGGTTTGGCATCGCTCTTTTAGATATAACAGTGTAAAGAAAATGTTTCCAGTTACTGATCTGTTTCCTTTCCTTCTTCCGCTTCCCGCATTTTTGTTTTCCTAAGTGTTTTTTTTTTTTTTTTTCCCTTAAGGAAAGCAGTAGTTTAATGACATATTTATTTGAGGTGTTAAAGAATGAGTAACAGAGCTTGTAAGTAGTTTCGTATAGATATCATGGTCATGTTGTGAGTAGATGACTGGCACGATTTCAGACACCCTCAGATTCATTTATTTCGGACATTACAATCTTCCCACAGAAATTAGTCCAAAAGACTGTTGCCTGGATAATGATGGTGTTATATTGATGCTATCTGCGACTATACATTTACAATCATGAACTTATTGAATATGTGATGAAGTGCTGCTATACTATAAATCTTGAATGGAAGTAATTAATGATTAATGTTGTTTGAAACATTGAGGATTAACATTGACTTAATAAACTGATCATTAGTCCTTGATTCATCACAGATAAACATCAAGAAAGTGAAGATGAAGAGAGTGACCATGATGATGAAGTTGAAATTGAAAATGAGGAGTGTGACGACGATGACGAAGTTGAGATTAAGAACGATTGGTGAATGATGACGAGTCTCGTTCAACAAAAAATTTTACTAGTACAATAAACAACTATCGAGATTCGAGAATGAACAACTGATGTTTTGAGAGGGGTTATTCGGGGGAGCTTTTTCTGATCAATTTTTCTCTGTGTGTGTCATTTTTTTTTAATTTCTTTTTTCACATGGAAAAAGTCACTTCCTTTTCATAAACATGCTGCAATTGCTGAAAATATACAGACGTTGAAATAATTTTCCAGTATTCATAGGATTGAACATATTGCAATTTGTTTTCCAGTTCTCTCTACTTGCTTTTGTAAATTGGCTTTAGTTTTTGGGTTATAAGTCATTCGATGTTCCTTCTAATTTCATGCAAATTGGGTTCATAACTCGATTGACCTTAAATATTTTGGAGCTTCTCCAGCAAAAGAATAATTACAAATGACTTGTGCATTCAAAATTGGAGAACAATTGAGCGGATCGCAACTTGTAACTACAAATGCAAATAATAGAATGGAATGGATCTCGAACCTTAAGTGGTTTCACTGCCTGTATTTTTTCCAGGTTCATGACAATAGACAAGACTATGTTTAGATCAGTGTTGTCCGATATTAGCGTATATCAGCACATTGGAAGAGAACTAGGTTTGCCTACTAAGACATATCTAGATTGGCTAGATCATATAAACAGAGTGTTCTGTTCTTTTTACATACTGTTTTGGTTCTCAAGACAACATTAGTCCTTCTCAGATGATGACATTAGCCATGGGATTGGAAGATCGTAGAAAACCGTTCATTTGGGTGATACAGTTCGTTAGTTTGATCCCAAAAGGTGATTCCATAGCTGAATGGTTACCAGAAAAAGGGTTTGAAAAAAGAAGAAAAACAATCAAACATGGAGTTGTTAGTGCATCAATGGCCAATTGGAGATTTAGAGTCACAAATCAACTGCAGCATTTTAAAGCCATTCTGGATGGTATTCACTAATTCAAAGACGTATATAAAGGGGACTGCAAACGAATGTAGTACCAGAGATGCAGAGAAGGTCATACAAATGGCTCTTGATAAAGAAGAAAATGGACCCGAAATGAAGAAAAAAGGCATTTGGGTTTATATTTGTATTTTAAACTCATCTTCTACCTGATAAAGAATTCCACGAGTATGCTTAAAGGCTGTCGTTTTCTAAAACTTTGGAGGTTCAAGGATTTATTTTTTACTAGAATGTGGTTAGTAAATGTTTATTAATCACTAAATTCAGTTAAAGATTGAGTTATTAAGAGGTACCAACAATGATAACTAATTTGCATATAAGTCTTTTGAGTATGTTATTGCATCTACATCAAGTGTTTAAAACAAGTTTGCAATAAAATTTTTCAAATGGAGTTTTTCTAACCATTTGTTTGCATCATTTTTAGCTATCATCTTTTATTTTGATCTTAATTTAGTGTAAAACTCAAAATCCCCCATTTTCCACTTTATTTAAAAGAAAGAAATGCAACATTCAATGTAGAGATAACATTGCTTTCCTATACCACATTTGTATGAACATAGCTTAATTTTATTTGTTGGCCTGACACTCACCAGTGGTCAACAATCACAAGCGATGGGGTCAAGTAAGCAAATTTGCCACACGTTAGAACTCTGCCGATCTCCTTAATAATTGAATGAAGAGCCGATCAAGCCAAATCCTTATAAGCTGGATGAGGGTTGAAGAATTTTAGGAGGAGAAAGAGAAACCAGTGGGATGACCATAAGGAATCGATGATGAACAAGAACGGCAAAAAAAAAAAACAAAAACAAAAACAAAAAAGACAAAAGAATAGCAACAATTTTTTGCATGACAACCATATGAGAAGTAAAGCTACTAACGATAGCTGAACAATTTGGGGAAGAGAGAGAGGATGTGATGAAGATGATGAAGAACCAATGATTATCAGGAAAGGCGAAAGGGCGGGGAAGGAGGGAAGAAGCAAACTCTTAGTCGGCTTTTGAAGCCGTTTTATTTGTTAGCAATTAATATTTTGATAAATTTGATTATTATAATTACCTAGTTTGGTAGAGTTGGACAAAAAGAAGAAAAAATAGGACAGGAGATCTGAACTCCTCAAACTGCTTCTCTAGTTTACAATTCTTTGTTTCTTGTAAGCAATAATTAACCCACGTTCCATTTTGTTTTAGTTGATTGGTGTTAAAGTATATAAGTATTTTGGGCTCGCATCTCAAAATCAATTGGCAATGAGTGGGGTGGCCTTTGACACATATATTCTGAGTTAATTCTCTTCATGGTGACGATGCGGAACAGATAATATACCTCAACACCATCCCTCAAGGCCAATAGGTCTTTGAACTTTTTGCCCAATGGACTTGGATCATGATAATAACATAATAGCCACGAGTGAACTCTCAAATGGGAGAAAGCCAGTAATACCGCTGGATCGGTTCACAACAAACCCACAAGTCAACGCTCAATTGGGAGAAAATGATGTGCTCATAATTTATCTATTTTTAATATCCCTTTATGCGAGATTTTGCCAATGTTTTGAGTACAAATATGCTATTTATATGATTTCATTTTTTATTGTAGGAATTGTACTCAATTGGAAGAATTGTTGAGGTGTTAGACTAAATTGAAAAGAAAGAGCAACTAAAAAGGGCCTAAGTGAAGATTGTAAGAACTAATGAGGAGGGAATCATAAGACTTGAAGATTTAGAGGACTGAATTATAATTTTCATTTTTTTAGGGTTTGGCCGAGCTTAAGGTGGTGCGGCTGTTGGGGTTGAATTTGGTAAGAATTTTAATCCCAATATTATTTGGGGAAACAAGTTTTCTTCCTCTCCAAGAAATAGGGTTTGACGGAAGTCTATAAAAGGGGATTAGGGTTTTATTTTTTCACCGAACTTCAACGAAACCCACACACAAAACCCACCGAACCGGCGGCAGCCTCCTCTTCTTCATCACCTTTTTCGCTCCCTTTTCCTTTCAGCCCTGCACATCACCACGCATCATCACCATCTCATCCCATCATTATCACCTTAATCATCATCATCAACCCATCACCGCCGCTCCACCTTCCTGCCGACGCAGCTCCAAAACCCCATCACCTCACCACCACCTTGAGCCTACGCCCAAAACCCTACGCCTCATCACCAAATCAGCTCCTCCCAGCCCCAAAATTCCACGCAAACCTTCTCCACCCATCAAAACCGAAACCTACGCCCAAAACTTCAACCACCAAACTCATGCCTCCATCACCATCGACGCCTCAACATCGTTACTCCACGCACCATCATCGCCAAGAGGAAGGAGAAGCATCGAATCAATTATTCCAGACGCAACTTTTGTGACTTCTTTATCCCGGTTTCATTGTTTTATTTATTTTTGAAATGATGTGTAGCTAAACTATTTAATCTAGAGTTTTGGATGTAGCCGCCGGATTTATTTGGTTTATTTGATTCATGATACTTTGATTTTCCATTGATCAATATTTAATGTTCTTGCTTTTATTCAATGTTTGTAACTTGCCACTACTTACATGTTTAAAGATATTAATTGATGGAACGACAGTTGAAAATTAATATTAGTTCGTGGGAATATTGGACTTAGGTAGTGAACCACGACAGTAGGAACACAACCTTTGCAACGTTAGATTCTTAAGTTCTTAATGTGTTTTTGTTAATCCTGTAGTCACGAAAGTAGTCATAGGGTTAATGTAAGTAAGATAATTATAACACAAGAGTGTATAGTTCTTAATTAGTTGAGTCGTTGTGAGATTAATGGAAGTAAAAAGTCAAATACTTATGAATTGAACCAAATCAAATATTCGGTAGGTGAACCCAATGTCCTAGGTTTTCTCAACTTGATTGTTTCAACCTTTGAAAGTAATTGCATATTTTAGATTCTAGTTTTAGTTTTATTTTAATTAAAAATCTGAGATCATCATTTACCTAGATAATAATAGGAGTAATTTATAACTGGTAATTAGTATTCTTTCTCTGTGGGTACGACCATATTTTTCGCTATACTAGTGTTAAGTAGGTGAATTTATTTGATTAGTTATGACGACAGCTTGTTAGAAAACTAGTTATACCGTTGGATCGGTCCACAACAAGCCCACAAATCTACTCTCAACTGGAACAAATATAAAATTACCACATGCCACATTCGGCCCAGAACATCACCATAGGCCCAGACCGCTCTGATACCATGTCAAAGTATAAAAGTACTTTGGGCTCCCATCTCAAAACCAATTGACAATGAGTGGGGTAGCCTTTGATACTTACATACTGAGTCATTTCTCTTCACGGTGGTGGCGACGTAGGACAGATTATACATTTTAATAATTGGCCTCTTTAATGTCCGCAAGAGTTTGTATTTGATAGCCATTATTGCTTACGTCCTCTTAATGTCATCAAAAATTCAACCGACAATTTGTGATTATATTTGTCATTTTCTGGATACAGTTGAGGCATGTATGTCCTCTTAATGAACCTAAACCAAACAAATCACATAAATTATACTGTCGGTTGATGCCTTCCTCCACTTTTTATGTATCAATAAATCCAGTTTCAACTCCAAATATTACATCTATTCAGCAAGCTGATTGATTTCTTCCTTGTTCATCAATCTTCCGGTTTGTATATGCTAGAGTTGAGTACTTGAGTTTGATAGCTCGATGTCCACTAGGAGTTTCAAGGTATGGAGGCAAAGGCCGGAGTTGGTTCGTCCGGCAGGGCCGACACCTCACGAAACTAAACCATTATCGGACATTGATGCTCAAGAAAGCTAACGAACTCAAACCCCCAAAATCCATTTTTACAAAAGACGAAGAAGCATATTTTCAAATGGCGGTGATGCTGATTGCGACCCGGTGAAGGTAATCAAAGCAGCTTTGGCAAAAGCATTAGTGTTTTACTATCCATTGGCTGGGAGGCTTAGGGAAGGCCCCGAAAGTAAGCTGCTGGTTGAGTGTAATGGCGAAGGCGTGATGTTCGTCGAGGCCGATGCCGACGCGACGCTGGAAGATTTCGGAGGAAAGGATCAGATTCGGCCTCCGTTCCCATGTATGAAGGAGCTTCTCTTCAACGTTCCGGGCTCTGATGGAATACTTCATTCTCCTGTGCTTCTTATACAGGTAACTGTAACATGTACTGCTTGCTACATGGAGTCACATTAATTAGGATGAGTTTCAGTTAAATCTTATCACCAACGTGTTTACTCATTAAAGAAAGGACTGATTTTACAAAATTACTTCCCAAAGAGAGTTATTAGTTACTTCTCCTTTTCCAAAAAAATTAGTCCAAATTAAATTTATTTAATTTGTACTAAAAATAATAGAAATGACAAATTTCAATATGGACTATTTTTATGGGACGAATGAAATATTATATATTACTCCTCAGTCGTCATGAAGATTAAAGTTTTTGCAAGTTGGGGTTCTTACCAATCTAATTATGCATTTTTACATTTGGGCTACTTATTTCCGTCCATCGTACTTACTTTCTGATAATCGGTTTCAAAATTATTATTTTAGTTTGAATTTTTAATTTTAGTACAAACTAAATTAAAAGTGAAAATTCAAACGGGATAATAATTTTACGACAGAATGACTTCTTACTAATTGTAAATCACAAATTTAAATTAATTTTAATACTCATTTGAGCTTTATATATTAGGATTGGAGGGAGTACATAGTACTAACTAGCTTTTTTTTTAACACTTTGACTCGCATGCACAGGTAACCCGTCTTCGATGTGGTGGTTTCATTTTGACTTATCGCGTCAACCACACCATGTATGATGCTTCCGGGGTGGTTCAGTTCATGATGGCTGTGGCCGAAATAGCCAGAGGGGCATCCGCCCCCTCCATCCTCCCGTTGTGGAGGAGAGAGCTCTTAACCGCTAGAAATCCTCCACAAGTGAACACATGCGTCCACCTTGGATACAACCTTCTTGGTTCAGAACCACAACAAATTATGAACCCTTTTGTTGGCTATGATGATCACACTAGTATGATTATTTGCAGATGCTTCTATTTCGGCCCAGCCGAAATCTCGTCCATCAGGACTAATTTCCTCCGGCGCAGTAGCCGCAAATGCTCTGATTTTGTGGTCCTCACTGCCTTTCTTTGGCGTTGTCGCACCATTGCCCTCCAAATCCATCCGGACCAACAAGTGGGAATCCTGTTAGCCGTAAATGCTCGTTCCAAGTTTCATAACCCTCCCTAGCCGGAAGGTTATTACGGCAACGTTATAGCCGTCCCGGCAGCGCTGACCACGGCCGGGGAACTGATGAGCAACCCATTAGGGTATGCAGTGGAGTTGGTGATGAAAGCCAAATCGGAGGTAACTGAGGAGTACATGAAATCCAATGCGGACTTTATTGCTCTCACAGGACGAAGACTCCCCCGCATCTTTTCGCCATGGAATCATGTGGTGTCCGACTTGACACGAGTTGGGTTTGATGAAGTGGATTTTGGCTGGGGAAAACCAGCTTTTGCTGGACTAGCCGTAGGGATTGATGATGTGGGACAGTTCATTAATGGAGTGAGAACTTGTTACTTGCCAAGCAAGAATAAAGGAGAGAAAGGCATGCTAGTTCCAGTTTGCTTGCCTAGAATTGCCATGGAAAGGTTTGCTCAGTTGATTGAAATCCTGTTGAAGAAAAGGATTAATGAAGGGGATGATGATTCAGGAGATGATCATTTTGACTTCTTCAACGAAGTTAGATCTGCATTATGAAAACAACTAATGACTAAGTAACATACGTACGTACAAATGGATTTTCATATGTGCATGATTATAAGATATATAAGTCATGTTTTCACATGGATCGGAAGGAGTAAAAAAAAAAAAGAAAAAAAAACTCATCCTTTCGTAAATAATGTGGCGTCTCGAGCCCATGCAGTGGAATACAATTAATACAGTTCTACCTCAAATGGGAAGCAACCTTAACATTATTTTTGTCAATGAAATTTTCATTCTTTGTTGGAACTTGAACCATGTGCCTATCGATCGGAAAACTTTACCTAAAAGAGAGAAAGTATATGGCAAAGTACACCACATAAATTGAATGGCACTATTTCTTTTTCTTTTTCTTTTTTTTTATCAGTTTGTAATTAACTTCAAATAGCAATCACACACTTTGTAGAATGGTATACCCCCCTCGGTCCACCAAAATTCTGTACAATGCTCTTTTGTTAGGAAGGATAGAGTATAATATTGATACTATGTATCATCATAAGATAAAAATCAAACGTGAAATTTAAAATATTATTTCCCTCCAGGATGATTATACTGTTTGAATTTTTACTTTTAGTATAAAATCTAAAATGGATAATCATTTTGGGACAACATAGTACCTTTTTGTTTGAGGCTTTGAGGGATGAAAATAGTAGTACATAAACAAGATTATTAATTTTCATTATCTATACTCGATTATGCGAACAAGGGAATTGTAGCAACTAAATGAATCTGTAGAGTGATCCTCACTTTTGGTTTTGGAAGGTGTGTTGTTTAGAATAGGTCTCCAAAGATTCCTTGATCCTTCTTTTTGAATATTTTTTTATCACTGCGAGCATCAGGAAAGCGGCAAGTTCTATTCCCCAATAAAATCAAGATCATGAACCGATTATTGCCGCCACATAAAGGATTCCAAATCCAATTCCCCAACCAATATTATCTATTTTTGTTGGCTAGCTCGAACTATTGCAAGAAGAAGATCCAAGTTTTGGGTTACCTCCGCGTTCCAGGTAATTTTCATATCATTGATACCAAATAAAATAATTTGGTAACCTTTCCTAACGTTAAAATAACCTCTTCTAAATATTTACATAAGTCCGAAATTTTTTAGAGCCCTAAATGCTCTAAAAATAATAAAGAAGGCGAAATATAGCCGGAGATTAACAAGAAACAAGAATAAACTTGAAAATCTCATACAAATCAAAAGCTATGGAATATAAGAAAGTGCCGTCGTCAACCTTATCGCCCGTCTTAAAAAATGCCCACATATTATTGATGAATTTATATTTTAATCTAAAATCTCAAGATGATACGTTTTGGGACCATCTTACTTATTAAGTGCTCTCTATTAATTCTAGATACCGATGTAGGACAACTAATCTACCCTCAACAATCTCCCCTGTCATGAATAATTCACCACATCAAAGCCTAATTCCCTTTTTAGTTGTAACCGCACTACATGTCCAACATTCTTCCAAGTCAACAATGGTGGAACTAGCTTTGGAGATGGGGGGCCCGCCGGGGGGGATTACTTCCTCCATCGTTAAATACTTATTCAATTTGGATTTTCATTTGTAATATAAATTGTACTAAAAGTAAAAATTCAAATTGGACAATTATTTTGAGACAACAACAGTATGATTTATCTTTAAATAAATAAATAACGTAAATTTAATATAAAAATTTCGAAATATATATTGGATGTGATAATCAAATTTCATAGATAGAAAATCTTCAAAATTAATCTTTAAAAACCCTAAGGCGCGGTTCAGAAATGGAAAACATGTTATACTATCATTTCAATTCATAGTTAATTTCTAAACAGTAATACTTCAATGTTAGAGTTTCATTTTAGGTATAATAATAATATAAATGGACAAAATTGATTAAAATAGTCCAAAATCATAGAACCTTAGATGTGTGGTGAAGTTCATAATATTTAAAAAGTTAATGAGTGAAAGACCTAAATTATAAGCCAGTGGGAAGGACTTTTAAGTAACAAGGGCAATTTGTGACATATTTCTAAAAAATGGGGGCTAACTTTGCATGAGATAAAGTCTTGCAACCATAATTAACATGTTATCTTCTCCATCTCCGTTTTGAAAACCGGCTCTGCAACTCATTGCCACTGCCCTGTCGATAACGAATTTAGATGATAATGACAATATTGGCTTTCTAAGGTTTCAATTTTGTGTTTCTTGTAGTGTTGTTAAACTCAGACCGGACCAGCCGGTTCGACCAGTCGAACCAGGAACTGGCCAAGAGTACGGTCTGATACATCTTCAAAACCAGTCAGTATTTAAACCGATCAAGACCCGGTCAAAATCTGGTTGGATCGCGAACCGGACAGAACCGGTTGAACCTGATTTTTGTCTTTTTCCTTTTTTATGATTTTTTTCTTTATGTTATGACTCTAGGCTTTTTTGTAAACTTGCTGCATTGACCACAACTTTTTGTTTTTGTAGTTATTTTAGGCAATAAATTTTATATTTTATCAACAAGTCTCAATTTTTGAGTCCTAAACACCTTTAGTATTGAATAATTTTAGTTTTGATGATAAAACTCATGTTTAATCAAAATTTCTCTTATTTCAAATATAAATTTATTATGTTTTGAAAAATTCTAACATTGAAATTATTATATTAATACTCAAAATGTGACGACCCAACTCACCTATCTGTCATTATACATCATGTTTAACTACGAGTTGAGCCGTCCGCCGGGCTCTCGCCCAAGGCGCAATACTTTTATTTACTTTTAATACAAATTCTAAACATCGACTTAACATCCTTACTATTTAACCTATCTCATCTCATATTACAACTATCAATAACATTATCTCTTGAACAAAGACTTGCTTCCCTTGGACTCATCTGCATCGATCCGTTCTAAACCTGGGAGTGGGATAAGGGGATAAAATATGAGAAGGGGGTGAGCGCCGAGCTCAGTGAGGTTCTCATTATACTAGTACGATACTTTTAATAAAATTGTTTTCGTAAAACAATATTCAATATAAAATAATTTCACATAGAATCATTCAACAATCAATTATTTCATTAAGCAATTAACAATAGGGTGGATACAAGGAAACCTTAGCAAGGGCCGTCAAAGAGCCTACGTGGTATAGAGACGGACTCCAGACTAGATTTCAACAATACGATAGCGTCCATCCGAACAACAATTCCATATCAATAACAATCTCTCCTCAACACCCGTAGTCACCGATTGATACTCATGAGCACCATGTCCATCCGGACAACAATAGCCTAGGTAAGCTAACCTGCCGACCAAGCCCGATGCCGGCCCGCAAGGGTTCGCCTAACAAAGGCAGGGCCCAGGCTCCAAGTGAACAGAGTCCACTGAAGCAACAATCACACATTATTTTACTAACAATCAATTAATCACAACAATAGCTATCCTGGAGTGATAAAGTAAACCACCAAAAGCAACACATTCAACGATTATATTCAATCAAGTAACAAGTTAACAATGACGATCAATCACATAGCGATATCATTTTATCTCAGATATGATAACACTTAGAAGTCACATAGAACACATACCCCGGGGCGACAAAGTACACCTCCGGGTCATCTAACAATATGCATTTAATAATTCAATAACATTTAAAAATGTGCTCATGTGTGTAGTGACTTTTAAATATATATTCCCATACTCCCAGTTTTTAAAAAAGTGAGAATTACTCACCGATACCAATAAGTCAATGTCTCTATATGTATACACTGCAAGTAATATCTCAACGTCGCCACATCCACCTTTTTGAGAAGCAGAAGATCAACTTGGATGCCTGTCAACTTTTGCTTGTTCTAGCTAGTGAACAAACCTTCTTAATTAATCTAGCAAATCCGCTAGCTTTAATACGGTAACGGCTGGCCGGATTTGAGGTATTTCCCTGAGTTCCTTTGATGAACAACTACTTAATTTACATATGTGGTAGACTGTTGCCGAAGGTTAGTTTCAATGTAATCAAAAGGCAGGTTTCGAATGTTCAAATATAATAATCCTGAGGCCTAGGTGACAAGAGTTAAAATATTGTGAAAACCTTTTGCGGTAGTTGGAGGGTAATGGGAGTGGGATATTGTGGTTTCTGTTTTAGGCTTGAATAAGAAAGAAGAAGGGGTGAAGTGGTGGTGAGATGGAGATCCTGAAGCCAAATAGACGAAAATTGAATTAGGAAGCTTTAGTCGAATAACTTATAGCCAAGTAAAACGAGCGGTGGAGGGAATTATTTATTTGCTAACCACTGTTTCTAAACTTAATAGTAAATCGTTTAACTCCAACGGTGGTATTGAGGACAAAAGAAAACTTGGCAGCGTAGCTTTGTTTCCAAGCAAAGAGAGTTTACTCTGTGCCCAAGTCTTAGAAAAAGAAACATATTAGAGTCACTAATTACAATGGTGGTGTTGAAGAGGGAAGGAAGTATGACCATGTAGTTTTGTCTTAAGCTTCAAGAGATAATACTAAATTAATCAAAGTGGTGGAAACATGGAAAAATGGATCACCTCTCATGTAATTTTGGGTATTGACAAAAAAATGCTACAAGGCCGGACTTGCTTGAGACTAAAGCTAAGTAAATGCGGCGGTGGAATGTGTACTAAGGAAAGCTTTCTACCTTGAATAGTCAGCCATTGAATGAAGTAGATGTATGAAATAACTAAATGAAACATGATAGAATCTTTCTATACATTAAATTAGTGTCTTGGAACTTATGAGCAAATAGCATAAATGGAAGCGGTGGAGAGAGGAGTTTAAAGATTACACTAATCAGATTTATCGCATCTAATAATAGCTACATATTGTTAAGGTAATAGAATACAATCGAGACATGAAGTATAATTTCTTTCTCATCATGCTATATACTTTCCCCTCTCAAGGGGTCTGGGAGTAGAAAAATAACTCCGAGAAAATTCTTAGACAATAACCGTTTTGATAACATGGTTTCCAAGCTTGTCACCCTAGCTATAGAGAATCATATATAT